TTTTCTTTTCTTTTTTCTTCCCTTCCCTTCCCTTCCCTTCCCTTCCCTTCCCTTCCCTTCCCTTCCCCTCCCCTCCCCTCCCCTCCCCCCCCTCCCCTCCCCTCCCCTTCCCTCTCTCTCTCTCTCTCTCTCTCTCTCTCTCTCTCTCTTTTCTTTCATCTTTCTTTTTTTTTTTTTGACATGGAGTCTCGCTCTGTCTCCCAGGCCAGAGTGCAGTGGTGCTATCTCGGCTCACTGCAAACTCCGCCTCCCGGGTTCAAGCGATTTTCCTGCCTCAGCTTACTGAGTAGCTGGGACTACAGGCGCCGGCCGCCACCATGCCTGGCTAATATTTGTATTTTTAGTAGAGATGGGGCTTCACCATGTTGGCCAGGATGTTCTCGATCTCTTGACCTCGTGATCCACCCACCTTGGCCTCCCACAGTGCTGGGATTACAGGCGTGAGCCACCGCACCTGGCCTCAGCTTCAAGTATTTCTTTATAGCAATGAAAGAACAAACTAACACACCAATTCCAAAAGGTTACATACTGAATGATTCCATTTATATAACATTCCGAAAATGACAAAATTATATAGGTGGAGAATAGTGGTAACTAGGGATTATGAACTTGAGAGGGAGGTTGGGTGTGGCTATTAAAGGACAACATGAGAGATCCTTATGTTGATGAAACTCTTCTGTATTCTTATTAGGGTGGTTGTCCCTTGAATCTAGGCGTATTATAAAACTGAATATAGCTAAACACACACACAGATGAGCACATATAAACCTGGTGAAATTTGAATAGATGGAGTGTATTAATGTCAGTTTTCTTGTTGTGATGTTATACTATACTTTTGCAAGATCTTATCACTGGGGGAAACTGAGTAAAAGATACAGTGTGGTTTCTCTCCATAATATTTCTTACAATGGCATGCTAGCAGATATATTAAAAGGTGTTCAACATCATTAATCATAAGAGAAATGCCAATTAGAACCACTGTATCACTTCACACTTGTTAAGATGACTATTATAAAAAATAAATGTTGATGAAGGTGTGGAGAAAAAAGAGCCCTAGTACACTGTTGGTGGAAATGTAGATTGGTATAACTATTGTGTAAAACAGCATGGAGGTTACTAAAGAAATTTAAAAGTTGGTCGGGCATGGTGGCTCATGCCTGTAATCCCAGCACTTTGGGAGGCTGAGGCAGGCATGTCACTTGAGGTCAGGAGTTTGAGACCAGCCTAGCCAACACAGTGAAACCCTATCTTTACTAAAAATACAAAAAGTAGCCGGGTGTGGTGGCACATGCCTGTAGTCCCAGCTACTTGAAAAGGCTGAGACAAGAGAATCACTTGAACCTGGGAGGCTGAGGTTGCAGTGAGCCAAGATCACGCCACTGCACTCCAGCCTGGGCAAAAGAGTGAGACTCCATCCCAAAAAAAAAAAAAAAAAAAAAAAGTAACATATGACACAGCAATCCTTCTTCTGGATAAATACCCAGAGGAGATGAAATCACAGCCTCATAAAGATATCTGCACTCTCATGTTTATTGTAGCATTATTCAAAATAACCAATATAGAAACAACTTAAATGCCCATCAATGGATGAACAGATTTAAAAATGTGGTATGTGTGTGTAGCTATATATAGTTATACAGCACTAAATATTATTCAGCCTTAAAAAAGGAGATTTTGGCATTTGCTACAACATGGATGAATCTGGAGGACGTTGCGCTAAATTAAATAATACCGACAGAAAGAAAAAGATTTGATGATTTCATATGTGAACTATATAGATAAGGGGCTCAAACAGACAGAGGTAGAGAATGAAACATTGGGGGTGGGAGGGGAAATGGGGAGATGTAGGCCAAAGGGTACAAAATAGCAAACATGTAGGATGAGCAACTATAGAAATCTGATGTACAGGGGGACTAAATTTAAGGAAATTGTCTCATGAATTTTTGTTAAATAAATAGATTTTAACTGCTATTGTCACACACTTAAAAAACTGAGAAGACCTGTAATCCCAGCACTTTGGGAGGCCGAGGCAGGTGGATCACAAGGTCAGGAGATCAAGACCATCCTGGCAAACACAGTGAAACCCCGTCTCTACTGAACATACAAAAAAATAATTAGCTGGGCGTGGTGGCGGGCGCCTGTAGTCCCAGCTACTTGGGAGACTGAGGCAGGAGAATGGCGTGAACCCAGGAGGCAGAGGTTGCAGTGAGCTGAGATCGTGCCACTGCACTCCAGCCTGGGCGACAGAGCGAGACTCCGACTTAAAAAAAAAAAAAAAAAGAGAGAGAACTGAGAAGAGAGATTTGCTAATCTGCTTCACCATAGTAGCCATTTTACTTTCTCTATGTATTCCATTATATGTTGTAAACCTAAAATATACACAATAAAATTTCTTTAAAATAAAGTTAAAAAATCCATCACACTTCTATATACTAACATTGAACATGTGGAAATCAAAATTAAAAACATGATACTATTTACAGTCACTTGAAAGAAAATGTAATGCTGGTGTATAAATTAAACAAAACACAGACCAGAAGGTGGGTACAAATATTAAAAATCAACATACTTTTCTAAAAATTACAAAACACAAAATATAGCTAATATATTCATTTACAAGGGAAGAACAGATTATACATATATAGAAGCATCTTAAAAACAGGGCTGAGTGAAACATTAAGTATTGACAATGGAAATGTAAATTGAAAACAAATGTCCACAAACAATAAGAAGCATGTAGTAATACTCATACAGAGAAAAGGATACACATCAAATTCAATACAATGATTGCCAATGTAGACAAGAGAAATAAAACTGGACCATGGAAATAAAGGAGAGTGAATGAGTCAATGATTAAAAATTCTTCCCTTGAAAAAAGTATTGTTTTTTTTGAAGGCAATATAATAGAGTTGTTTTGACATCCAGTGTAGAAGACTGAGTTATATTCTTTGAGTTAATTCCCTAAGACCCTCTCCCATTTATTTACATTCACTCTCCTTTATTTCCATGACCCTGGAGGCATCACACTACCTGACTTCAAATTATACTACAAGGCTACAATAAACAAAACAGCATGGTACTGTTACCAAAATAGATATATAAACCAATGGAATAGAACAGAGGCCTCAGAAATAATGCTACATGTTTACAACCATCAGATCTTTGACAAATCTGACACAAACAAGCAATGGGGAAAGGATTCCCTATTTAATACACGGTGTTGGGAAAACTGGCTAGCCATATGCAGAAAAAATTGAAACTGGACCCCTTCCTTACACTTTATACAAAAATTAACTCAAGATGGATTAAAGGCTTAAATGTAAGACCTGAAACCATAAAAATCCTAGAAGAAAACCTAGGCAATACCATTCAGGACATAGGCATGGACAAAGACTTCATGTCTAAAACACCAAAAGCAATGGCAACAAAGCCAAAGTTTACAAATGGGGTCTAATTAAACTAAAGAGCTTCTGCACAGCAAAATAATCTATCATCAGAGTGAACAGACAACCTACAGAATTGGAGAACATTTTTTCAATCTTTCCATCCGACAAAGGGCTAATGTCCAGAATCTACAAAGAACTTAAACAAATTTACAAGAAAAAAACAACCCCATCAAAAAGTGGGCAAAGGATATGAACAGACACTTCTTGAAAGAAGACATTTATGCAGCCAACAAACATATGAAAAAAATCTCATCATCACTGGTCATTAGAGAAATGCAAATCAAAACCACAATGAGATACCATCTCACGCCATTTAGAATGGTGATCATTAAAAAGCCAGGAAACAACAGATGCTGGAGAGGATGTGAAGAAATAGGAATGCTTTTACCCTGTTAGTGGGGGTGTAAATTAGTTCAACCATTGTGGAAGACAGTGTGGCGAGTCCTCAAGGATCTAGAAGTAGAAATACCATTTGACTGAGCAATCCCATTAATGGGTATATACCCAAAGGATTACAAATCATTCTACTATAAAGACACATGCACACATGTGTTTATTGTGGCACTATTCACAACAGCAAAGACTTGGAACCAACCCAAATGTCCATCAATGATAGACTGGATAAACATAATATGGCACATATGTACCATGGAATACCATGCAGCCATAAAAAAGGATGAGTTCTTGTCCTTTGCAGGGACATGAACGAAACTGAAAACCAGAATTCTCAGCAAACTAACACAAGAACAGAAAACCAAACACGACATGTTCTTACTCATAAATGAGACTTGAATAATGAGAACACATGGTCACCGGGAGATGAACATCACATGACAGGGCCTGTCAGCGGGTGAGGGGCTAGGGCAGGGATAGCATTAGGAGAAATACCTAATGTAGATGACGGGTTGATGGGTGCAGCAAACCACCATGGCACATGTATACCTACGTAACAAAATTGTAGGTTCTGCACATGTACCCCAGAACTTAAAATGTAATAAAAAGATAAATAAAAAAGAAAAAGAAAAAAGAAATGCTAGTGTATGAAAGTGATAAAGAAAATACCAACTTTTACTTGTATAATTGTATTCAATTTCTCTGTAGACTATGTTTTCGTTTATTGCCTGCAGTAGACAATGGCCACTCCCAGTGTCCCACACTTGGTAGGCTTCTGCTCCATCTGGTGTTTCTTAACTAGGAAATGCCCTAGTATTGGGACCATGGCCTCCAAACACCATTATTTTTATGTGTGTGACATGCTGTCTTACTTTATGTAGGGTGGAGGTTTTTGATCCTTTTGAGGGGCTTCAGTGGCTCACAGCCTTGGGTGAGTTACAACCCACACCACTATGAGGTATGTGGCCTGGAGGTGGTGATTTTGATGTCTTCATTCTGGAAAGAGTCTCACTGTCACCTACACACAATACATATCTTTTTATATGCCCTTCTACCTATTCACACGCTCCAAGAAACACCAAGTCCTTTTCTTTCTATCTTGTGAGATAAAATTTTAAGAAGAAAATTTGTTTCCAGGAATCAGTTCTCCCCCGGTCCTTATTTACAATGTGGGGCTAACTGTCAACATGTGGATCTGTCCACCAACCCTACAGGATCTCATATCCCTCCCTTCTGAAATGCCTACATCTTCCCTTCCTTTCTTCACCACCTTCAGAAAACAGGCAGAGATATACACAATCATCAGCTCCTCCAACTTGATTTTATTGTAATCATTGCCATCGGTGGTGAGGATTTGACCAATTTGGTTTCTCCATGTGAGACTAGTCCTCCCCACCCTCCTGTGAAGATCCTTCAAATGAATCTAGGTCTTCCTCCTCCTCCTCTTGAATTGGATAGATGGTGTTCCCTGGGGACTGGTAATTCTCCACTTGACTTGAACTTATTTTCTTAAACTTCTTGTAGGGAAACATTAATAATGTTGGATATTCTGATGTTTTTGTCTTTTTCAAACTCTGTTTGGGGGCTAAGTCCCTGTTTGGTGTCTCCTGCATCTGTTAAGAAAACAGGGAGAGGCCAGAAAGACATTATTTTGGGTGAGTAGGATAGAGACTGGATAGCAAGGGGGTCTTTATGAGAAGGAATGCAGGTTGAAGAAGGGGTTTGTGCCAGAGAAGAACAAGGTGGAATCATAGGGTAGAGATCTATGGGGAAGAAGAAGAGCATGGGTAGGGTCGCCTGTTAGTCCAAACTGCACAATTGTGTAAGCTGTTTGCTATTTTGCAGACCTTGGTCAAAGTGAAACATTACATGGGGGTTCAGGCCATGAGAAACATCCTGCCTAACCACCTGACCACAGGGTTCATAAAGACTCAACTAAAGAAACATCCCTATCATATCTTGCTTAACAGAGTTCTAAGGAACACCACAATGATATTCCACCGGAAAAAGGGCCAAACCACCTGATCATAAGACATCTTATTAATATCCTGCCGGGCAGCAAGCCATACTGCCCAGCTCCCTCCCACCCATACCTGTAAGTAACCCGGCCTGTAAGTGGCAGTGGACTCTGGTAATAAGCTCGTCCACTTCCACAGGTGTCTGCCATATTCTTGTGTTACTGTTTGAGCCGCCCCTTCTCTGTGTGCCTTTCTTTCACCCATGCCTTCACTTCAAAACTAACAATCTTACCTCATCATTTTTGTTGTTGTTGGATTCACAGGGGCTCTTCCTCTTTTCCCCATTGGTGCTTGAAGTTGGCTGTTCCATGATTGTGGTTGGTTGTAGAATGTCTATAGCAGGCTCTTGTAGAGTGCAGACTTCCACAGCAACATTGAAGCTTCCCAGTGGTATGTCCCAGAGCTCTTACCCTCCCTATATATACCCTCCTGGTGACAAGGCAAAGCCACGCCCTTGAGCTTTGTTTGATCATACAGGCAGTGTCCCAGCCAATGGCAGTCCTAGGGTGGCTTTGGCATCACAAAGCACCACTGCTGCCCACTCCCTGGGCTTGCGGGGGAGGGGAAAGGGGTGTAGAGGAAACCAAATGCTGTTGTTGTTTCGGCATCCCCTGAAGATGATGCATCCCAAACAGATCTGCCGCCGCTCCTCATTTCTCCATGTTTAATGTTCATGGTTCACATGGAAGCTGGAATACATTCATGTTCTGAGTGTTTACACGCAGGATACTACAGTCTAAGACGAACATGTGCAAGACTGTGGGCATAGTTAAGCTTTGTACTGGAGATTGTGTCCAGTGCCAAAAAAAAAAAAAAAAAAAAAAAAAAGAATTGCATTCCGATTGGAAGGGAGAAGTAAAAGGATCTTTTGTCAAAGACTACATGAGAGTGCATGTAGAAGTGTCAATCTAAAAAAATGCTTCTACTGTAATTGAGGTTAGCAAGATTGCAGAGTAAGAGATCAACATATAAATCAATTGTATGTTTATATATATGAAGTTATATATTAGAAGTTTATATATTAGAAGAGACGGTGTTTCAGCCAATGGTAGTCCTAGGGTGGACTGGAAGTTAATTTCAACAACTGAAAGCTGAAACTAAGAACAGTGCAACTTAAAATATCACTAAAAATAGAAAGCCTTAGGAACAAATCTGAACAAAGATGTAAATGACTTGTACACTGAAAACTACAAAACATTGCAAAGATAAATTAATGACATAAGAAAAAATTAAAATGTATACTTTGATTTTTGGTTCGATGATTCAATATCGTAAGATGGCAGTTATTTCCAAATTCATCTGTAGATTCAACTCAATTCTAATCAAAATTCTAAAAAGGCTTTTTTATAGAAATTTACAAGATAATTACAACATTCATATGGAAATGTAAAGTGCCTAGAATAGCCAAAAGACAATTGTTGAATCTTAAAAAGCTCTGAATTTTATCATTGTCAATGTTCTACTTTTGATAGTGTCATGTGGAGGTGTACTGAAGAGTATACTATTGGGAGAGACTGGTTGAAGGGTACATAAGGCCTCCGTGTACATATCTTGGAAACTTCTTGTGAACTTATAATTGTTTCAAAATAAAAAGCTAAAAATGTTTTAAAAGACAGTAAGAGAGAGAGCCAAAGATAGAGAAGGCATGATCCTAGGTTCCTCCCACAGGTTAACACTTGTCTCATTCTGCATAGGAAGTCACAAAACTCAATAAGGGAAAAAAAATTTAATGAAACAAAAGAGAAGTAGACCCTGGAATTTTGATCCAGCATTCATCAAGGTCACATATCTTTATTTCATACACCATAAAATCATGAAAGGCCTAGCAAAATACCCTGCTGACATCCAGATACAACCAATGTATTGCATTCCCATGACTGTCATCTAAACACAAACAAACCAAAAGAAGATTGGTATCAAGGTATACAAATTTTTTTAGTGAACCCCAGATGTTGTCTAGAGTTCAACAATTCCATTTATTAAGTGCTCACAAGCTAACTTCTAATAATTTTTTGTACCCTTGCCTGCAATTAACAGTGAGAATAACACCCTGTCATGTCATGTTATGGAAAACAAAACAAACAAAACCAAAAGGCATATGCTGCATCAAATAGAGCAGGTCAGAAACTGATTACAATTGCTGAAAATAACAGCTTTCAATTACCTTATTACCTTTTAAAATTGTTTTCTGAATTTGTTTACCAAAAATGTTTTTATGGGTATATCACTATCCAAGGAAAATTAAGCCAAATGTTAGGAAAACATTTAGTGCATATTTCTATTGAAAGATTGCAACTGACTTTATAAAATAACTCCTATTGAAATCATTAGTGATGATGTTATATTTTCCACAAAATGAATAATAAAAAATTAAAGGTCATCAGTGTACAATGAGTTCATTGTATTGAACGTTTTTATTTCTGATGTGTTCAGTTTTCAAGAGTATTCTTCTTCATCATATCAGGTTGTGAAACATACTCAAAGGGACTCTCCCATGTCATACTGTAAGTCAGACATGGACCAGGACAAGAAGCAGGGAGTCCTGGGCACCCTTTTACTTCCTGTTTGGGACTTTGTACAACTGACATTATAAACTGACAGTAGTTTAGTTACAATAATAACCCTCCACAACTTTTTAAATAATTTTTTTAATACTTTTTACCTGTCTAAGGCAGGTTTAAACACCACACAGAGTACCAGATATAGGATAGGATCTGCTTGGGATTTGCACTACTCTGTGGCCACAAAGAGTAAGGAGTTAGAGGCCAACCATATATTTTCCTCTGGAGCGCAGACAGGTGAAGAGCAATTAATGAGAAAGAGCTGAGTATGGAAGAGGGCTACAACTTACCGCTGGCTTTGCATGTGACTGAATGAGTAGCTTTGAAAAATACCAGCACCATTACCTCCACTGCAACTACTACTACCTCTACACTGCTACTACTATTACTGCTAGCAATAGATTCCATACACAATAAACCTACTATATGCCAGTCTCTGCTGTAAGCATATGGTATCAAAGTCAAACAGGAAACAGATGGTACATGCAAAATTAAATAATTTGACAAATATTTATCTGCAAAGGAACCATTTACAAACAAGTGGATGCAGGGAGACCATCAGAGATAGTGCTTGTTGCAGCTGCCATCACTACAGACCCAGAGGAATGAGAGCAGGGAGGAAGTGGTTACTAGAACCAGAAATGATCAATAGTCATGAGGAAATAGCTACCTTGAGAAGAACAGTGACCTCTAACGAGATTTATCCCGCCCGAGGTGACTCACAGGGATGGAGCCAGGAGAGTAAGTCCACGGCCCTCACTCCCCTTCCTTCCTTCCACCTCTGACTGTCCTTGGAGCTCCCCATTAGCCAAACCCAGTGGACATCAGAGTCCAGGAGCCCATTGAGAGAATCCTTTCTAAATAGCCTCCTAGGACAGAGCAGGTGAAGAAGGGTGGTGAGTGAATCTGGAAAAGCAGAGGGAAGATGTTTAGCCGAGGTGCAATACTCACAACAGTCCCAGGAGGTAGATATCATCATGGAGGTCTGATTTACTGGAGAGGAAATTGAGGCCCAGGGAAGCTCAGTAACTCAATATTTGTGAAACAGTGTTCAAACCTAGTTCAATCTGCCCTAAATCTCATATTCTTTCTGAGACTCTGGGTAAATTGCATACCTTCTGTAGGCTTCAGATCCCTCAGCTGTAGAATGAGTAAACTGGAACGCTCAATGTCATTTTTAAAAATATGCTGTGATTCTATACTTCTCACTTTTAAAGATACTACGATTCCTATAAACTTTAGGTAATATGATTCCAGCCAGACAGATTCACATCTCCACAGTGTAAAACTATGTGTGGTGGGCCTATACTACCTTGAGCTACTGTGGTTCTTCCCTCTGATTCTATTACCACTGGGAAAATACTAGCACCTAAGAACAATGCGGGCGACTTAATATGGAGAATTAGCCCAGAAATAGGATTCTTTAGACAGAAGTAAGCTACCAAACACAGACCATCAAGTCTCTCAGCAACTCTAAAGAGATAATAGAATCTATCTCAAGCACTGGACTAGTCATATAGATGTAAAGACCATGGTCCTCATTCTTCAGTTTTTGAAGAAAATGCCATCCCATGAGTATATTTCTTATCTGGCATATTGAAAAGATATTCTGAAGTAATGTCCAGCCTGACAGAAAATAAAACTGATTCCTTAAAATCAAACAGTCTGAGTAGACAGAAATTTTCTACAGTGCTCAACATTTTAACGTTTTGTCTTTTAATTTTTTTGTTTAATTTTTGTGAGTACATAGTAGTTGCATATATTTATGGGGTACATTAGGTGTTTTGATACATGCATGCAATAAAGAATAATCCCGACATGAAGAATGGGGTATTCATCCCTTCAAGAATTTTATCCTTCATGTTACGAACAGATGAATAATATTCTTTTGGTTATTTTGAAATGTACAATTAAGTTACTATTGGCTACAGTCACTATGTCGCATTATCAAACAGTATGTCTTACTCTTTCTATTTTTTATACTCATAACTTTCCCCACCTTTCCCCCAACCCCTAAATACAGATTCCATCTTCTGGTCACCATCCTACTACTCTCTATGTCCATTAGTTCAATTGTTTTGTTTTTCAGATCCCTCAAATAAGTGCCAACATGTGATGCTTGTCTTTCTGTGCCTGGCTTGTTTCACTAAGCCTAATGATCTCCAGTCCCATCCATGTGGTTACAAATGACAGGATCTCATTCTTTTTACGGCTGAATAGTACTCCATTGTGTATATGTACCACTTTTTTTTTTTTTTTCATGTATCTATTGGCAGACATTTAGGTTACTTCCAACTATTAGCTATTGTGAACAGTGCTGCACCAAACATGAGGGTACACATATGTTTTCAATATAATGAATTCCTTTCTTTTTGGTATATACCCAATAGTAGATGTGTTGGATCACATGGTGGCTCTATTTAGGTTTTTGAGGAACCTTCAGACTATGGTTGTATTAATTTATATTCCCACCAACAGTGTAGAAGAGTTGTAGTTTCTCAACATCCTCGCCATCATTTGTTATTGCCTGTCTTTTGAATAAAAGCCATTTTAACTGGGGTGAGTTGATATCTCATTGTGCTTATATTTGCATTTCCCTGATGATCAATGAGGTTGCATAACTTTTCATATGCCTGTTTGCCATTATTATGTCTTCCTTTGAGAAATGTCTACTCAAATCTTTTGCCTGGTTTTGATCGGATTATTAGATTGTTTTTTTCTCATAGAGTTGCTTGAGCTTGTTATGTATTCCGGTTAATAATCCTTGTCATGTGGCTTGTTTGCAAATATTTTCTCCCATCCTGTGGGTTGTCACTTCACTTTATTAAGAGTTCACAGAAGCTTTCTAACTTGATGTAATCTCATTTCTCACTGTTTGCTTGGTTGCCTGTGCTTGTAAGATATTGCTCAAGAAATTTTTTGCAGACCAATGTACT